CCACGAATGCAAAATGGGAATATTCAAACGATGAATCTTTCGCTGTTGCTGCTGTCGCTGCTGCACCATAAAAACGACAGCGATTAAACAATACATTTTGGTATGTGTGCTTTGGTAAAAAAAAAAAAAAAAAATCTATAACTTTTGCGCGTTCGCGCGCTCTGTGTGTTTTGCACATATATTCATTCGTTTGGCGCGATGGCGCGCGCGCTCGCGTTTTCGTTTTTCGACACAAACAGACATTTTATTGCCAATAATTCTACATTTTCTCAGAATTATTTATGGCCAAAGCCCATCCTCTATCTTTTCTCTACGATGTTATTTTAATTACCCGCCGCAGACATTTCAGATTTAATTTTTATTGTCGTTTTATATATGTTTTACTCATTTCCAGACCTGCCACACAACTTAAACGTCGAGCCAAAAACCAAACCAAAATTGAAAGAGCGAGTGTGAGAGAGAGAGAGAGAGAGAGAGAGAGAGAGAGAGAGAGACGAACCGAATCAGCGCAATGTGTTACTCTGAATGTTGAGTGATTTTGGTTTTTATTTATATTTCTTTTTGTTTTTGGCTTTTGGTTTGTTAGATCGCAAGGTCTTTATTTCTGGTAAAAATGGTTCGGGGTCTGCGCCAATATGTTATTACATCCACCATGGAACGAGAGACAGCCGAAATCATTTAAAAACATTGTTGAATGTTTAAGATCGGCTGAGGTTGCAAATAATAGCAACAGCACATGAAATCAGCCCACAATCGCGAAACCAACAATTGCAATGTGATTTCAGTGACGCAGGACCTCGTTAACCTTTACATTTGTTAAGAAGCGTATCCATTTCACTTTATTTGTTTACGAACATGTAAATGAATCGTTTATCCAATTACAAAGCGCACCATCAATCAATCGGTGCCTTTTTTTCTCTCTACCATCTCTGCCGTTTTTTTTTGTTTCGTTCACATTGGAAATGGGCGAAGGAGACATGAGGCAACAATACGACCGACATCAACCAAAATTAACAAGATCTCAACAATAATAATAAGTTTGAAGAAATGATGCATTGCAATTTTTTTTTGTCGTTGTTTGCCGAGAGTTTCTGCGTTTTTTTTTAAATAGTTATCGTTGTTGTTGTTGTTGTTGTTGTTGTTGTTGTTGTTGTCGATCACCTCGATTTCGGATCGTTATGATTTTTATATGGAATTTATTGATACGTTTTTTTTTGGTCTGTGTGTTCTCTTGAAATGTGCCGCTCAATTGGATTTCGAGTGCGTTGGCACCATTGTTAAAAACTGACAGAATTATCTGATAAACTCTCTCGGCTTGTTGGTTACGTGAAAAAGGCAACAAAGCCAATTTGAAGAAGAAGCCGAGTCAGCGTGCACAACTGCGAAGGTAAAGCGGTTTACAGAAACCAAAGAAAAAAAAATAAACCAACAACACAGAAATTAGTATTGTTTTTTTTTCCTCTCCATCTCGGTGTGTTTGCTTGAAATATAAAGCGGGAGAGAGAGAGAGGGAGAAAGAGAGAGCACACAAATATCGATAGAGTGCACACTGCACAGACACACAATTCAGGCGCAGGCAGGCAGTTAGCGCGCGATGATCCAGACCATGATGAAGAGAGAGCTAGTGCTTCGTTCACGTCACGAATAAACGATATGATAGGCAGTCACGATGCTGAATTTTACGTATTGATAATGATCTCGTTCACATTTGAAAAAATAAAATCCAAATTGCCGGATGGTTGGAAAAATATTAATGAGTACCGGTGATGACGAGCTGGTTTCTTTTTTTTTGCTTGTTTGCTCCCTTTCTCAAATTGTTCGAATGCTCGCGCACTGAATGTTTTGCCGTGTTTGAAATATGATTTTTGATATCATCAAATATCACCGGGCCGCGCTCGCTCGCTCGCTCGCTCACACACACATTTTTTTCTCCTACATTGCCAAATGAAGAAATCTTTTTTCTCGATGTGTACTGAGTAATGTATTTGGTTGTATTTTTTTCCATGCTGTTGTCTGTATGTTACTTCTGCTCTCATCTGACGTTTGATGCAGTGCATACCTCTTGTTGCGCGCACAGTCGCTCAAACTGGTCGTGTGTTGTGTTGTTTTTTTTTTTGGCCGTTCGCGCTTCTCTCCTGCCGATGAAATTGCACTGATTTCTCGCAATTTTATTATACTTCATAAAATTATGAGCAAAGAGTTTCTTCCTCATCCCAAACTCATCTCCGTTATTTATATTCTCTGTGGCAATCAATTTCAGCTGAGCGTTTTTGTCGTCGTTGTTTTTTGTTCGTTTGGCTTTTGTTGTTATTATTGTTGTTGTTGTTGTTGTTATTGCCTTCCACCACCTATTTTTAGTCCATTTCCAACGTTTTTATACGTCGCTTAGTTTTATGTGTATATGCGCGCAAGAAATGTGAGCAAGTACAAACATCAATTCGTATTAATTTGGTTTTTCTTTTGAAGAAACGCAATAAGTCTGTCTCAATGTAATGAGCGTCATATATTTTGTGGTGGCGGCGGGCGAATTAAGATGTGCAATAAACAATTGGGAATCTATCTACGGGCAACAACACCGACGACGACGACGACGATGACGACAGCGGCACGGTGCATGAAATGTATTCTACCTAAATTGAAATGAGTGTGGAGAGAAGTGAATTTTTTGTCGGTTTTGAAGGATTATGAACAACTGTAAAAAAGTCTCACATTTCTTCGAAAGTTTAAGTTATTTATTTTCCTCTCTTGTTCACGCATGCCAAAAACCTATTGGATTTCAGTGCAATGATAACAGCAATGATGGCTGCGCACGATGATGCTGGCCGGCTGATGATGGTAATGGTCAAATATAGCCAGACACTCGGATCATTCATCTTCGTAATGTTTTTTGGTTCGGCCCTTCCTCTCTCTCTCTCTCTCTCTGTTTCTCTCTCCAGAATTCAGGTGATCGGTCCACGCCGATAGCCGTTCGCATTTTGGTATTTTCATTTCACAAACTGTATTTCACCCTACATTTCTTATTTTCAAACTTCATCGCTTATCCATGCATACACACACACACACCACACACCGAAGAGCGTAGAGCATAGAGCGTTTAAACTGTGCTCTCAGTTACTCATTGCCGGTGATTATCATATGCGCGTATTTGCCTTTCCTGCATTTCGTCGCTTTATGCACGCGCGCACATCGCTGAACAAGAATATTTCTCCTTCTTATCCAGAGTGGACTCTTTGATGTTTATTACCGATTTAAACGTTTTACATTTTCTGTGTGCCGTTTTGTGCTGTGCATGCAGTTGCTTGGTACGCGCTCAAACACACAATATGTTTCTTCTTTTATCGTTTGCTGGCAGTTCGTCTCTCTTTCTCGTATTTTTGGTCTTATTTCTCGTTGCAAATTCCTTGTGGCCGGGCTCATATTTGTTTTGTGTATCTTCTTTGTTTTCACTTGATTGATGTTTTTAGCACATGAATTTTAACGTCGTAAAATTGCCGATTCGCTAAAGTCGCTCTCGCTTTCTCTCGGTTTGTGAATGCTCGCACTCTGTGACCAGCATCAGCGCTTGTCTCAACCTGGATATGTTTTCAAATTAGTACGTATTATAATTATAGCTATTTCTTCCTTCTGTTGGTTTGTGAAACCAACTCGATCTTGCCTCGTGTATTTAGTTTTCTTCGGTTGGTTTTGGTTTTGTTGCCGTCTTCGAGATTCAGTTGTGTGTGTGTGTGTGTGTGCGCGTACTCACGATTTGCGTTGTTTCATGCAAACATTTCATCGCCCGAAGAGAATGCACTTTTGGTTCGGTTTGGCAATCCATCGAAATTTTTCCGTTTTGCATTATGAAATTCCAAGACAAATGCAACTCTCAACCAATCGAAATGGATGCAAAATATTTGCATTCGATGATTAGCAAAACTGCAAATGATTTTGCCCTAACCGAAGACAACACAGAAAAACAAAAATCAAACCAACGATGTACACGTTTCAGTCATTTTGATTCGAGCTCTCGGCTGATGTGCTGCTTATCATTATGAGCTATCGCGAATTAGGGTGCAAAGAGAACAAGTTGTGCAGTTTCATCTTGGACTGGATTTATTTATTGCATGAATTTTAATCTAGATCGAAGTGAATGAAGTGAACATTTGGTTCTGCCGTCATATTCAAATACAAAATAATCACTTGAATAAACTTTTGATGCAATTTTAATCAGTTTCGAGTACTTTCTATTTGGACGACTGGGTGTTGACATAAGTGCATCTTTCCAAGAAATTTTCTGATTCGCAATATAATATTGCGCATCCTATCGATCATTCTGATAAGGCATCGCATGAATTTGACCTATTCAGCGTATGTCAAGTGCAAATTGAACGCGATTTGGAATATGTAAATAGATATGGCATTATTTGAACCAGTGCAACAATAAGTTGACTTCAAAATGAAATATTTAAGCAATTGCACTTTAGAACAAAGATATTCCGTAGGAAACTTTTTGTCGCACCGGTTCGAGTTCAGTGAAGTAATAGTCAAGGATCACATCCTCATTTTATTTTACATTTTCTACAGTTTGGCATTAATATTTCTTTGTTCATTGAAAATGTATGCGAAATTGATAGAAGGAGTCAATCTTTGTTTATTATTGCTACAATATAATTTCCTTCTGTACTTGTGTAGTATCTTTGGCAACATTTCGTTAATGAAAAAAAAAAAAAACAATTTGAAACAGAATATTGTCAAAAAGTATCAAAACACTGGCTGTTGAGATATCAGAGTGAATTGAATGGATTTGTTCTAATTTTAAAGAGCACATCAATGTAATTTAGAATGTGTTGCTATTACCGTCTCATGAAAGTATCTAAAAATTACTAGAATTTAATCGAAGCAAAATGCGTGTCTTATCTGGTGCGGTTTCGACTTGACTTAGCGTCTTCATCACTTTATTTGCTCTTTTATATGGTATGACAATTTATGGAAATAGCATATTAAACACAAGAAATCAAATGAAAAATGCTTATGCAGTAAACAAAAAAATTGTCTGCCTATGTCAAACAAGTAAAAATTTCAAAATTATGTCAATTAAATGGGTCAAACAATATCATCTTGATACCCAAACATTATCGTCCAATGGTGTTATATTTTCACAATCACGTTCATCAGTTTTATCGTCACAGTCTTAAAAAGAATATTGTCAACATTTAGTTTTTAAATACAAATAATAGCTGATCATCCACTCACCGTCAAATCTATTACATTTATTTTGAGTCTAGTGTCGAAGAGTGAAGAAAATAAAATTAAAAAATTGAATACACTTCATTGAAAACCTTAATTATACCAGAAAACATCCTACACCGTTGGCGCATGGTTCTTCCGTAAGTGCACAGTTATCTTCAACAAATTAATTAAATAAATTTTGAATTGATTTTCAAAAAAATAAAATCCAAAAACGAGAATAGAAATGTTACAAACCTCCTGTAACATATCCTATGGCTATCACAAAACACAACAGCAATACCAAGATCTTCATCTTTGGGCAATTCACATTCGCGAGCACAGCTGCTGACATGCAAACTTATACTGCGCATCTACAGATGCATATTGCAATATATAAATACCTAATGTCTGATTTAATCAAGTTACATGCAATTATTTTAATCTTTATTTATTTTTTTTCACTTCTCCGACACTTTGTTCGGTATTATTGTTGCCTTTTTCATTGAAAATGAATGTGCAAAATTGGCAGAAAGCGAATTAAGAATTTAATTTACCGACACAATCACACAATCCTATTAAACCGTTAAACATTGACCGTGTGTGCATGTGAATACATTCATTGAACAATCTACATAAAGAAAATGAGTTCATAATCGTAAATTTTATTTCTCAGGAGATTGGGACAGTTCATTGATAGCTGTTGATATGAAAAGAGCTTTCAACAATGACAAATTTTATAAACTTCCTTTTCATTCAAAACTAATTTAATTTGTAAATATGAAAAGATTTCCCAAGAGAAATGGCCAATATGTTTATACGCTGTCTATCCGCCGAAAATGCACTACAATATATATTCACGCTTATTGAACGCCGAATCGAAAAAAATAAAATAAAAATAATTAAAATTTAAATTTTGCCAAATAACTTGTTGAAAACATCAAGGATCGGATGACTGATTTGAATTCTACATTTTTTCTACAATTTTATGGAACCTAGCATCAAGAGAGGAAGATTCAGTTTGTGGAAATTTCAATTTGTGGCCAAGATTTGGGTATTACCGATTTTGGCCCAATTTTCAAGACTCGTCCCGATATCGAACGAACGGGCAGACATATTTGGGAACAGACAATTGATTTGAATTCTACAATTTATCTACAATTTTTTGCAACCATTCTTCATTCGGAAAAAAATTCGATTTGTGGAAAATACGTTTTTTGACCAAGATTTGAGTTGTCCCATTTTATAACAGTTTTTCGATAGCCGATTACACGAAAAAATTGTTCCTACATAAAAAAAGTAAAAACACTACATTAAAGTACATAAAATCTACAATTGAAATCGCCCTACCCGAAGTCATTTCGGCAAATTTGCCAAGATTTGAATATTCATCTGAATATATATTGTAGTGTATTTTCGGCGGTTAGACAGCGTATAAACATATTGGCCGTTTCTCTTGGGTTTGGAATTTCGATTTTTTTAGTGGATTTTGTTGAATGTTCTGCTTTCAGAAAATTGTGGAAAATTGTGGTCTCCAAAATCAAAATCAACAGTATGATCAACAGAAAATCTAAAGAAAATTTCAAAAATCATTCTTCGTCACCTCCTCCTATCATATCAACGGATATAAAAGTTCCACACACGCGGTGTTTATTGAATATGTTAAAGCAAAAATGAAATTTACGATAAGAAATTGACTCAAAAAAGCCAATTTCTGACATTTCTCCCATTTTTAATTTATGCATTCTCATTTCGATGAATATTTAACCAATAGATATATCCAGCCCAAAACGCTCACAAGTTGTCTTGTGTGTTTAATCGACACGGCAATGAGCTATCCACCAAAAATAATAATTCTGTGCGAGTGACTACTTTGAAATGTGAATGTCTTGGCTTCATTCTGAACATTGTGCACCAGCACAACCAGCCAATGTACATCGAGAGATTATAACTCGTTGAAAAATCGTTATTAATCGCGTTGGGATCTTGTGCTGAAATATTAAAATATTCATACGATGGATAGCATAGAGATTCTAGAAAAATTTGCCCCGAACCGAGAGCAAGCAGGTAATGGGTTGTCGCGCGCAATTGCTAACGAACCATCGAGTATCAAGTACACATATTTCACGTCCGTATTAAATTACATTTAAGGTCGAAACGAATATACAACAACGGCAATAACCAGCGATATATAAATAAGTATTGAAGACAAAATGCGCGTACGCTTTGACACGGCTCAGCAATGTTTGTCCCGCTTTGAACAATTGAACGATAATCTGTGGTTTGAAACGCGTTCGGCGCGCGCGGGTTCACTTCATCGGGCCTATGTAAAAGAGCGCGGAAAAAATTACGTGTCAAAAACATAAAAACACAAATAAAACAAAAGATCTCAATGAACACACAGCGCGTTAAAGAAAACCAACAACAACAGCAACAAAACGGAAAAAAGATTGATTTCATATTACCTTGAAGACTTGTTCAAACCAATACACCATATATCTGCCTCGACGAAAATAACGAACGAATGACTGGCCGACCGACCAACCGAACATACGACCGAGCCAAAATGATCGACATCATTGTTTCGTGTACTCAGTTTTGTTATTTGATGTGTCCCATTGTTGTTGTGCTGACTCTGGCTGGCTGAATGTTGTTATTTTTTCTTTCGGCTTTATTTCGTTTACATTTTCTGTGATTGTACACGATGTATGATTATCTTGTAGTTTTCGTTTTTGGGCTGACAACGAAATGAATTAGCCAAGGGGTCAGACATTCGATGAATTTGAATAATCTCTCAATATCATCGGGAAAAAGCAGCAAAAACATTGAGAAATTGGCCGGCATTTTGGGCTTCGATCTCAAGAACGTCCAAGCTCACACAACACAATCCGGCATCAGTCAATAACGATTTTTTGGCAACCATCGCGAGATCAAGTCATGTTTACACCCCGGATTTGGCACCGGCCAAATCATATTGCATCGAGCGAAGCAACATAAAAACCGGGGCGCACATAACAAAAACCACGAATACAAACGAAACAGTGGAAAAAAAATCGACACAACAAATTTGTTTGCAAAAGCTAAATAGATCAAACGGAATGAAATAAGGCACACAACGACAGCAACGAAGAAGAAAGAAAACACACACACAGAAAACGCTCACCACGGATTCCACTCGCGATGGTATGTATTTTATGCTGGTTGATGATAACAATATGACCGATGGCCACGTTTTTTTCTCCTTCTTTCTTTTCCTCTTTCTCTGTGTGTTGCCCTCTCTATCTATTGATTCATCTGAGAAACCGTCTTTGGATTTGGTTTCATCATTTCAATACTTTTTGATGCAATCTACATTCCGTTCGCAAATGCAATCTCATGAGAAAGAGCGAGCGGGCGAAAGCGAAAGAGTGACAGAGTGAGAGAGAGAGAGAGAGAGAGAGAGAGAGAGATACGGCTGGAGAGTTTATGGGATGCCTAGGATGTATTCTTACACGTTTTAACATTTTTATTCGTTTTCATTCCCAAGTTATGTAAATAAATAATATAGTTTACAATATTTGTCTGTGCCTGCAAAAGATATTTATATTCTATTATGGGTTTTTATTCGATTTTCGCTGTGTTGCTCGATGCATTTTTTAGCGCTCTCTTCTTCACTGCTTGCATATATCTCTCGTACAATTTGTATGAAGTTTTCGAAATATTTATTCAGTTTTTTTTTATTTCGGTGTTGTTGTTCGTCGATTTGTTTTTCCATCTTCTCTCTCTCTCTCTCTCTGTTTCTGTGTATATCGGTCGGTCAGGGAATAAAATTCGGCTTCAAGATGTACACGAATCGACGAAACATACATTCATACGAAAAGAAGAAGAAGAAAAAACAACATGATGATCAGAAATTATGGGATCAAGCGCATAATACGTTCGGGAGAGAGAGAGAGAGAGAGAGAGAGAGAGAGAGCTGAGTAAGCTTATGATTGACATGACGTGTGGTATGCTATGGGAATTCGGTCGCAGGTAATATTTCATGCAATGGTGGTGTATTTTCTTGTGTGTATATATAACTATGTTTGGATTGCATCTTTATCCCTTCGCTCGCACTTCGAGAGACATGAGATGCTTGTGTTGTTGTTGTTGTTTTTACTGCTGCTGCTGCTTCTTTCTCTTCTTCCATCATTTAATTCCATTGCCATTGCATCGATTATTTATTACATTTTACTCACAATTTTCAAAAGAGGATGAAAAAATAACAACAATTTTATATTTACCCGAATCGAAATTTATGTTTTCCCAATTTTTCTTTCGCTCGACATTTTCCCGAGCGACCGGCGTCGCTCCACAACGACGACGATTTTGACAAAAGGAAACTGCAATCGAGGTGGAGGATGTGTGTGTGCCAGTGCATTGTTTGTTTCATTGGCATTGTTTATGTTACTATCTTGAAGGAATCTAACAGGTTGCCGTGAAACAAGCGGCGGCTTTCGCTTTACGCTTTTCAAATATCAAATCCGATGATTCATCATCACCCAATATGACTAATAACAACATGTCTTGCTTGCTTGCGCGCGCGTACGCACACGCTCTCATACACAGCATAAGCACACATTACGCGCATTGTGGTGATGCATCGATCACGGCATTACGACATCAGAATTCATGATTGTGTCAATATTCATAGATATATCAATGCCGTCAAATGTTTGACGCGTTAAGTAAAATGTTGAATTTTTATTTATTGGCGGTGACCTGTTACGCTGAGAGTTCAACGAAGGAAAAAAATTTTTTTTTTATGCTTTCGCGTCGATTTCGTTTGTTCATTCGTTCGAATGGTTGGAATGCTGCACCATTTTTTGAATGTTCTCTCTGCTTTTTCATTCATATTCCTTAAAATGACGACCGACGACGACGATGACGACGAAGAATGAGTGTGTTACTTTTTTCCTGGATACTGAGACTTTGGTGTATTCCGATTTCGTTGTATCTCTGTTTCCACATTGCGCCATAATTCATAATTTATACGTAATAAATTGTGTTCAATTGACGCTTTTGTTGTAGTTGTTGTTTGGGTTCTCTGGACGCGAGTTCATCAAAAAACAATACTAAAAACCCATCTCGACAATCCATTTTGAATAATAATTCAAAAACATGGCATATTAAATGAGATTGAAACGCACAACGACTCAGGACTCGAGATGTATTGATGCGGTGCTCTCACTCTTGACTTTTGCTATTGTTGTTGTTATTGCTGGACTATATGGTAAAACCAATCATTGAAATCAAGTTTTCTCTCGAATTTAGAATATATTGTTTTCGTTTCACCCGCTCGCCCGTTTAGAATGTGTGACTGGTGCATCGCTCTCCTGTATATTTACATGTGTTTGATGAAATAGAGAAGAAATTTGTCAGTACATTGATCATTGTGTC